GGGATGTTTCGTGAGGTGTTGCCCCGTTGGGTATCGTGAAATCGTGCCCATGCTCCACATGTCTATATCCCTTCCCGGGTTCGTGGGTCCATCATGTTTCCTCTCTATCCTTTATCTTTCCCTTCCTTGTCCTCCTCCTTTTCCCTCTTCTGTGACCTCCTCCTTTTTTCTGCTCCCTCCCCGTTCCTGTGCATCTTCCGATTAATTACTCCTGCGCCCTTTTCTTTTCCCTAATGTAACGGTTGTCCTCGTTTTTTCTTTGCGTTGCATGTTGCTTCACTTCGCTTCCATGCCTAGCGCAACTTGCTTGGAATTCGAGTCGGCAAATGCTTTCTTCTGCATGTTCTTGCCCCTCCTATTTCCTCCTACTTCCTCCTGCTCCTTGATCCTCCCACCCCTTCCTACACCCTCGCTGGTGAGGGCTCACGGCGCACGCGCGTTCCGCGCGGATCACTGGTGCGCCTTTTGCTTCCCTCAGGCTTCTTGTGCTTCTTCCTGCCTCCCCAAGCTCCTCTTCCGTGTTTCTACCTGCTCATTCTCTTGCACGTTTCCAGTCTTTCCTATCACCATGCTCCCTCTCTTCACCTTGTTCATCATGATTTTCATGTTCCGCCCTCCTCTCCTTTGCTCCGCTTCCTGCACCTCATCATCCGCGAATACGGATGCGGCTCACTATTTTCGCCGCTTGCCCGATTACCCGGCCTTGATCAGGGCGACTCGCCTTGTGGTTGTTCGTGGATTGGCTCGTGAGGATTTGAGCAACGCGTCAATGACTTCACCGGGCGTCTAGGTGTTATTGCTGGCGTCTGGGCGTTGCCGCTGGGGTTTACCGCGGGCCAGTGTGATTAACAATTGCAAGCGGCGCGTTGGCAGGCATTCGCCTTCCTGGAGACATCTGTCTGGTTTCGCAGTGACCTTCTTTCGCGCTGCTCTTGTTTCTTTGCCTCCAGTTTGCGGCTGTATGTTTGTAGCCTTTGACTGAGCTCCATCAGACGGCTATAATTCCGCTGCCCTCGCTCGATGCATGACCGCCCCCGCCGCAATGCTCGTGAACTTTCCGGTGGGCTGATCATTTGTGGTTTTGTCTGCAGTTGGACTGCGGGCGGAACGCGGGCGCCGCTTATGCAGTATTCCATTGTTCGTTTTCCTCTGAGGGCATCCGCAGTGGACTTTGCGCGCGCTTGTTTTTTTGTTGAGCAGATCAGTTCAATAAGATCTGTCGTTGTTCGGCACGAGACCACTAAAATGAAATTGGAAAAGGAAAAAATATCCACGCGTCCCTTCATAGCCCATGGCGAAGCCAATGATTTCCCAAGATTTCTGGCGGCCCCCCGCCGTGACGTGATCGGGGGGGAACGAGCTCCCCCCCCCCTCTCCCCCGATCACGCCCAGTGTCGCGAATAAGATAAGAGAGGCTCAAAGCCAGGTTCGCATTGACCCGGGCGTGAGAATTTTGCGGGATTCTGCAGGATGTTGCAAAGCCCGACTGGCCCGGTTTTGCAGTGGCCCAGGCCAGCAGATCCCCGATCCAGATTCTTGGAGAGTAAGGAGAAAGTCGCAACGTCGGATGTCTGGGGACGTCGAGGATCGGGGATCTCGAAGGTTCCAGCGCGTTTGCCTGGCATCTTGAAGCATGCCAGCGAGGTGGAGCGCTGGCAGGGGAAGACGACGAAGCAGCCCGCGATTGTAGGGCAACTGGCGTCGGAGGAGATCAGCCCCGAGTAAATGCCTGGAACCTTGTAGCACTGCGTCGTGATGCTGAGCTTGGAAGCCGCTATCTGCGCCAGGGACGCGCTGCCGTAGCAGCAGTGGTGGTCCTCGACGGCGAACGGCAGCCCCGTGACATCTCGCAGCACTCCGTCGTGATGCTGAGGTCGGAAGCCGCCGCCTGCGCCAGGGGCGTTTTGCCAAATCGGCAGCACGAGGCCTCGTAGGCGATCGGAAGCCCCTTCTATACAGATGCACCTCGTAGTGCTCCGCCGTGATGTGAATACATGTATGCGTACTGCGGAACATCTCCCCCAGACATGCACGCTCTCCAAAGGAGCTGCCCTCCCAGGGAGGCACGCCTCGGACGCGACCTCGAGGCAGCCCGCGCCCGCGGAGCCGCTGGAGCCGAAGAACATCGGCAGCCACGCGTGTACCCGTCGGTCGTTGAAAGTCGGTATTGCGAAGGCCTTACGGCCGGTGCCGCCGACCCTGCATGGCGGCGACAACCACGACCACAGCGACGCAGCTCTCGGGGGCCTCCTGGGGGTAGTTTGGGGGCCCCTTGGGAAGCTCTTGGGGGCCGCTTGGGAGCCTCGTGGGAGCCTCTTGGGGCTTCCTGGGGGTCTCTTGGGAGCCTCTGGGGGCTTCTCGGGGGGCTTCTTAGGGGCCTATGGGGGTCTCCTGAGAGCTTTTCAGCCGAGGGCTCGAACTGTCCATTCGGGTCCCCCGTCTGGACTCCCTCTTACAACAGTCTTGGGAGCCTCTTCGATTGTCTTGGAGGCCTCTTGGACGGTCTTGGGGCCCTCTTGGGTCGTTTTGGGGCTCTCTTGGCCCCCTATTGGGCCATCTTGGGGCAGTCTTGGGGGCCTCTTGGCCTGTCTTGGAGCGTCGGGACGCTGACAAGGCGAGAATGCCGAAATCTTTCAAAAAGCGAAGGGAAATCGATGATTGTTGTTCCTTGGTGCCCTCGTTGGAGTCCTCTTGGAGGCCTCTTGGGACGTTTTGGAAACCTTTTGAGCCGTCTGGAGGCTACTTTGGCGACTTGGACCGATACTTCGGCGATTCGGGGCCCTCGAGGACCGTCTTGTGGGCATCTTGGGGCATTTTTGCCGCGTCTTGGGGCTTTCCTGGGCCCCCGAACCGCCCGGGGGAGAGTCGTATCCGACCCGGGACTTCCCCGGGACTTCCCCGGGACACCCCCCCCCCCGGCGGGGAAGGGATCAAAGGGAAGGGGCTTCCTTTCGACTCCACTACAACGTTGCTCAATTTCGCTGTGGCTGGCGCGCTCGACGACGACAACGACCACGACGACGACGACGAGTCAAACGGAACAGCCTCTTCCACACGCCGACAAGTTCGGCGGATTTTTTCGATTTCCAGATTCCGATCTACTGAGTGCCTTCCCACTTCAAGAGTCGAGTGGTTTTCACTCTTCCCTCCTCTTCAGTAGGCAGGTGGAAGCCCAAATCTACTTCCAACGCCTTCCTACTTCGTGTTTCTACCTATTTCTTCCGACCGATGGGTATGCCCGGAACCACGTAACCCTCCACCGTGATGCTGAGCTTGGAAGCCGCCACCAGCGCCAGTGACGCGCTGTCGTAGCGGCAGGGGTGATCATCGGAGGCGATTGGCAGTTCTTGGAAGATGCCCAGCCTAACAGCTCTTTGGAGGTTTCCAGCGAGGTGGAACACGGGCAGCGGCAGACCACGAAGCAGCCTGCCACTGCAGGGCAGTTGGTGACGCAGGATATCGGGGCAGTCCCGAGTTGAAGCCCAGAACCTCGCAGCACTGCTCCGTAATGTTGAGCATCGAAGCCGCCGCTGGCGCCATGGATGCGTTGCCGTAGCGACTGGTAGTCTGCGAAGGCGATCAGCAGTCCCGTGATCGACCGGGGGCCCGGGGCAGGTAGGAATACCCACAGCGAACCCGTGTCCGCAGCCATAGCCGAAATCTCAGTCGGGGCTCAAGAGACGGGGGTCGATGCACACAGGGGTCCGTCAGAGCGCCGGATCTTGCAGGATCCTGCAGAGCCAGGGGTGCTTTGACCCGGGTTTGCGCGCAAGGTTTTGACGGGTTTTCCAGGATCCTGCTGGGTCAGTAGACCCCTGATTCAGGATACAAAGAGGGTCCTCGGTACGGTCAGGACGCTGAAATGAGGACCACTCTGGAATCAGTAGGGCCTCCTGCTTCTGGGCCGTTCCTCGATCTAGGTCGAAGAACCTCTTCGCGGCCCAGGCTCGCCGCGGCCAGAGAAGCCCCTTCGTTCCTGAGCAAGCGTTCCTCGGTCATGGTAGCACGATGCCAGAGGAAGGAAAAAATACAGACACAATGAATCGTCGATTCCCAGGAAAATATGGGAAGATATAGGAAGTGGGGGGGAAGACAGCAACCCAGAAAATATAGGAAAATATGAACAATCCTGTTATTTGTGTGTATTTATTTGTGTGTGTGTGTGTGTGTGTGTGTGTCCCAGGGCCCCTTCACGATGGCTGGAGAGTGACTCGTTTCTGGGTGTGGGCAGATGCAGAACTATCGGCACGTGTGCCCTGGCTCTTGCGCCAACGAGCTGCGAGGGTCCGGAGTCTTTCGCCTCCTTCCTCCAGGAGATTTCCTTCTGTGGCCGGGGGGGGAGGACGAACGACGAACGAACGAACGACGACGACGACGACGACGAACATCAAGAGGTCCGAGCTCTAGATAACAGTTGTGCAAGAGAATAAACCGTTCCAGAGCGGTCCAGAATGCTGTATGAGCGTTCCAGAGCGCCCTCAGGAACGGCCGCGGTGCCCGATGCATCTTCCAGAGCTGCAAGATCTCTCGGAGATCCCCGACTCACTCTGGTCCGACTTTGTCCCGGTCTCGGCTTTTCTTCTTGCCCAGGACCCCTTCACGCCAGAGGGAGCGGGAGGACGGACACGAGAGGAAGAGGAGGAGTTGGAGGATGAGGCGGATGAGGAGGAGGAGGAGAAGGAGGAGGAGGAGGAGGAGGACGAGGAGGAGGAGGAGGACAGCGGCATCAGCGGGGCAGCAGGCCCAGGGCCTGGAGCTGGAGGCACTGGATGAGCAAGGGGGGCAAGGATGGTGAGGAGCAGGAGCAGGAGAATCGAGGAAGCGCAGACACAGGCTGAGCCGCGCGGATCAGCGACAGGTTCGCGCTTTCGCGCAACATTGACGCGCTCCGTCCCCGAAGCAGGCGGCGCCGGCTTCATGCTTCGCCCCGAGCCGCAATCCACCTGTGCGTGCGCCCGAGGGAGGAGGGGGAGAATGGTGAGGCGTCGTCGTGGCCCCAGGTTCCAGCACGAGCTGGGCGCCATCTACAGCTACAGCGACGGGGACTGCGTCGGCAAGGCTCGGGTCGGTCCGGCCCACCGTTCCGTTCAGGGGATTCTGGCCAGGGCTTCGTAAGAGTGAAATGGGCGCGGGTATAACATTGTTACGAAGACCGACAGCAGGTCCTGCTCATTTTGAGCAGGACTCGCTGACGGTGTCGCCGCAGATGTTGTCCATTCATGAAAACAAGGCGCTGCCCAACAGTGGCCGCTGTCGGTTTTGGACAACATTCGCTGGTGGGCATCCTTTTTTTTGCGTACGCTCAGCGCGCTGCCACATATAAGCCCGGCAGGAAGGGTTGCAGCGCTCATTCTGGATGGTTTGGCCAGTGCAATCAAGCAAACGGGTATTGAGGGAGACGGGTCCTGAGTTGTTCGTGCGTTATCGGGCGCTCGAGGCCCTCACTGGGCCCCGGGACCGTCAACGTCACGGGTCCTGAGTTGTTCCTGCGTTATCGGGCGCTCGAGGCCCTCACTGGGCCCCGGGACCGTCAACATTTCCCGGCGAAGGACCCAATCCCAGCAGCTGCAGGCTATGCTATTTCCTCACGCGTACAGCGCGCCGCCATGGGGATGGAGTCCACGGCAGTGTGAATGGGGGGGCGGCGGACGATGCGCGCAGAGGCGAGCTGAGCTCCCGACGGCGAGCGATGCAACTGAGAGGCGAGCTGAGCGAGCTTCTTAATTTCAGTCGGACCGAGTTCTGATATCGAGGTCGGTTTGGGGAGGGTACCCTAGCCTTCTTCGTGTTTGTTGGATGTTCTTGTGCATCCTGGGGAGGGTCCCCTTGGATGTTCTGTTTTTTTTGGCCGACGGATGGTCTCATGTTCTTGAATGATGCTATTCTGACCTATGTCCGACTGTATAGGGAGCGAAACGTGTGAGGGTTGCGCCGACACGGAGGCGGGGCCGCCATGCCAGCCCTGCCACGGAGGCCTTCGGTGGAGCTCCCTGCGTGGCACACGCCATGCGAACTGTGCCACTGGGGACGTAGGTGGAGCTCCCCATGGGGCCACGAGGCGAGCGAGGTGTGCGCCAAAATGGAGGTGGTGCCGCTAGGCGGGCGCTGCCAGTGGGGTCTTCAATGGAGCTCCCTATGGGGCCACGAAGCGCGTGAGGGGTGTGTCAAAATGGAATTAGAAGAGCAGAGGTAAGAGGGGGAGGAAATGAGGTGAGGTGGGAGTCGCGAGGCGCCGCGGATCCCAAACAAGGACCTAACAGCACAGGCTGGTTGGGAAATATGACCCACTTTGAAGAGCCTGCCCCGGGGAAAAGCCCCGGGGGGCGAGCTCCCCTCGAGCCTCTCACCGGAGCCTGACTTATAGAGTCCAGCGCCCCCTTCTCCCGTGTTTCACCACTCCGGTGCTCGCAACGGGCTGATGGCGGACGCACGCGAGTGAGATCTGGTGCGCGGGGTTGGGGCGGGGCTGTCTTCTGCCAAGCTTTGAAGGTTTGTGGACCGCTTGCGCAGGTAGCGGTGTCGGGAGGCAGAGGGAGCGGGAACTGGAGCGGTTGGAGACTGTTTTATCGGGCCCGCTCGCCCCTCCCCCCTCCCCCCCGGATGACCTGACCTCGTCGGTTGCGCAGGTCCGAATGGGGGTACGCAGAATTGGTGCGCGCGGGCGTAGGTGGCGCTGCCCACAGCGCAAGGGTTAGGTTATCGGCCGGCAACTCCCTCCCCCCCGCCCCAGCAACACGCAGACACAGTTAATCGTCGATCCCCAGGAGAATATAAGAAAATATGAAAATATGGGAAGTGGGGGGGAAGACAAAAACCCAGAAAATATTGGGAAATATGGGGAATCCTGTTATTTGTGTGTATTTATTTGTGTGTCCCAGGGCCCCTTCAATTTGGGTCATCGCCGAAAGATGGGGGAGGGTCAGGGCAGGGATCCGGAGGAAGTGCCGAAACTTGGGGATTCGGAGTTGCAGAATAATCGATGGCGTAGTGACGGCGCGCCCCAGTCTTCTTGTGAAGGACGTCGGGGAGTCTCTTCTCGGCTGAGGCTCGTCGTGGCCAGAATTGGAGCAACAACGAAAAATGGCATACAGCGTAAGCCCATGCCAAGAAACACCCTGCTTGCCTCCAGAGTGCCCTGGGTTTCTTGGATTTCGATGGCTTTCCCATGGAAAGCGTGACGTCCCCATACCAAAAATCAATGGGCGTCCTGGAGTTCCAGGGTTGGGTTTCTTGTGGAAGGTTCTTTGTGGTCGGGCCCCTACTGTAATCATGAACTTCGGGTGTCCGCGCGGATTTCTTGGATCGGCGCTGGACCCCGCTTCCTGGCGCGCGGAGCGCGCCAGTGGCGGCGCCGGATGCGCCACCTCAGGGTTCCAGCGCAGATCCGAGAAATCCGCGGGAACTTCGAACGTTCATTCCCCAAGTCGGTGCTTGCACTTAGGGGTTCCTATTTGATTCTTAAGGAGATGGGCCTGTATGTCGGTCTGGCGGCTATGTTGCCACCGTCGCCGCCCTGTCGCCGCCTCGTCGCCGCCGGTCGTCTGGGTCTGTCTGTCGGTCGCCGAACTTGTTGCCGCCGTCTCCGCCCCGTCGCCGCCTCGTCGCCGCTCGTTGTCTGGGCCTGTCTGTCGGTCGCCGCGCGTGTTGCCGCCGTCGGCGGCCCATCGCCGCCTTGTCGCCGCTCGTCGTCTGGGCCTGTCTGTCGGTCGCCGCGCGTGTTGCCGCCGTAGCTGGCCCACAGATGTTGCACAACGCACATGTGTAGATTCTCCTTTCCCAGCAAGGTATTCTGATTTACCCCCCAGACTTAACGCCTGATTGTCGAATTGCAATGTGCAGGTGATTATACCCCTTCGTCCATCCGAACTCATACCATTCCAGACAATCCCTTATTGGTTCCCCCCCATAATCCGCTTTCAAAAATACTATGCGCGCACGCGTTTGTACAATCGTTAGTTTTCAAAAGTCCCTTGCAAAAAGACGGGACGGAGTGCACACGCGCGCGTCGACGCGCGCGCATTCCGAAATCCTTCAAAATCCTCGGTGCCGTAAGGATTCCAAAATCGAGTGCCTCCGATTTGGTTGTTGGACAACAAACTCAATGGTTTTCGCAACAGGAATTTTCAACCAGAATGTTCAGCGGTCTGTCGATTTGTTGGGAAAACCGTCGGCTGATCAACATGTGCATCACATGGAACTCCATGTACCTCTCGCGCGCGCATGTCGAAATCGTTCGAACGCCCTGGCGCGAGTGCTGTCGCAAGAATCCCTAGTAAAAAGACTGACGAAGTGCGCACGCGCGGGTCGTCGCGCGCGCATGCCGAAATGCTGCAAGAATCTCTCTCTCTCTCTCTCTGGATTCGTAAGTCTTTCAACATCGAGTGCCCCAAGACGTATTAAAGTTATGGCTTTGCAACATGAGTTGGTAAAACAACTCTGCGCGTGCTCTTGCAAATTCTTGAGAAAACCATGGTTGTTTCCTCAATAGGCTCTTGCACCTGAAGGGGTCCTAGCAGATGTTGGAAGATTTAGCAGAAGTTCCCGACCAATTTTGGTGGGCGGCCTGGTTACTGGGTTCCCGGTTCGGGGCTCCTGGGTTCCCCGTTGTTTGTTCCGGGCCAATTTCGGTTGGCGGCGGAGTTCCCTGGTTTCCGGGCTCCCTGGTTCGATCGGTCTCACGGTCGATCTCATCACCCATGTCTATATCGATCTCACAATCGATCGTATTGTCGATTTCACAATCGGTCTCATTGTAAATCGCACGAGCGATCTCATTGTCGATCTCACCGAATCGATTTCCTTATCGGTCTCACTATCGACGTTACCATCGTCCTCGCTATGGATCCCCCGATCGATCTCACTATCGGTCTCACAATCGATTTAAGTATATATATATATATAGCACGATCGAACTCATGAACAATCCCAGTAGCGAACTCTCACTGTCGATCGCACTTGTGCTGTCCCTTTCGATCTCACTACCCAGCCACGAGACACTACGTGCAGATACATATCTATATATATATATATATGTATATATACACCAATGTATATACATCCATCCATTGATTGGCGTTTTCTCTGGTGCAATGCAACATGTTCATCAAATTCAACGACGCGGGCCTCTCGCGTCGCATGTCGAAATCATTCGAACGGCCTTGCGCGCGTGCGTGGGCACGATCCCTGCCAAATAGTTCCATGCGGGCCACTCGCGCGCGTCGGCCGTACGCGCATGTCGAACTTTTCCAAAACCTTCATCACCGACGCGGGGACATCGTCATCGTCACCGGCGTAATCAGCAGCGGCGCCCTCACTGGTTTTGCCGTCGTCATCGTCATCATTGTCACCATGCTCGCTATTATCGTCATCATGTCTACCTTTGTCGACGTCGCTATGATACCGCGCCCACCGAACTCGCCGATTCCCTTCACTTCACGTTGGGAAGTGCCCAACGGTCATGGCCACAGTGGCCGCGTTGGTCGCGCCAGAGTAATTGGAGCATGCGCGGGCGACCGCGGCCGCAGAAATGCACCAGCCAGCTCTAAGCGTTCACCGCAATCGCCGCCGCATGGTTTTGCAAACCACATTGTGCGTGGGTGGGTGGGATGATTGCGCCAGTACTGGAGTAGACACCCCAAGCTCTCCAACATGATCTTCCACCGTAAAGAGTGCACCACATAGATTGCGCACCACAGATCGCACAGCATCGGTTGCACCACATTGATTGCACGACGTAGATTGCACCACGCACGTTGCATTTCAGAGATTGCACACCATATATCACGCACCCTATATTGCACCACATGTATGCACCACGTATTGATCCACATCGATCGCACCTTTTAGGTCGCACCACGGAGATTGCATATATATATATATATATATTGCGCAACGTTTTTTGCACATATTACACAACTTGTATTGCATCGCGCATGTTGCACCACATTAGCAGCACATCGTCGACTGCACAACCTAGATAGCCCAGCGTGTACCGCACCATTTGTTTGTTCCACAGACTTTGCACCACGCGTGTCGTTCAAAAAGAGAAAACAGAGAGCTGAGCAGATCGCGCAACGAAGGCTGCACCACATTGCGTGCACCACGCATATTGCCACACTGATATCGCACAGCTCATGTTGTGCTTCGTAGATCGAACCACTTTTACTGCACAGCATGGGTTGTACCATATTGGTTCCACAGCATAGATTGCACAATGTAGGTTGCACAGCATATATTGCAACGCATAGGCTGGTCATCTTAGATTGCACAGCGTCTCAATCTAGAAACACTGTTTGGGCACCACGATGACCAACGTGTGTATGTCACCATTTGTTCCCCCAAGGACCCTCCTCGTTTCCCAGCCAGCGTTATTTAATCATGGTAGTATGATGGGTGTGGGTTCCTCCTGCGTGTCTCTTGACTGCTGCTGCCAAGCCTGGAGGGCTCGGACGTCGGCGACCGCGTGACCTCGAGCTTCGTCTCGGCGGGGCACCGCAGCAGCACAAGCAGCGTGCTGCCCCCCAGCCTTGGCGCAAGCCCGGTGCTCGGGCTCGCGCGAAAGAGTTCGGGGCCCATGTGACGGGGACACCGACACCGCTACCGCTCCCTTTTTGTTCTCCCTTGTGGGCCTCCTGGGAGGCCCTCGTCGCCACTGTTGGATTCGCATCGAAGTTTTGATCAGAACGCTCCCCAGGAGAGGTCCAGGGAGTAGTGGTATTGGGACTTTTTGGTTTCCCCACCTAACGGGGGTCAGCCAACCCAGGCCTGGAGCCGCGTCGGCCTGGGTTAGCGAGCCCGGGTCAGCGGCCAAAGGATGGCGAGCTATTACGCTTTGACTCCCCAGGTTTGTTCTGACCTGGGATGGTCGTCCCTAAAGTGGGGGGAGAGGATGCCCTTCTAAACGGGGTCCGAGCAGACGGGGTCGGACGATCGCGCTGCATCACCGATGCATTGGCGATGCGGCTCGATGTGGAGCCCGAATTTCTCATCACCAGCGGTTCCGACGCATCGGCGATGCATCACAGATGCATTGCCGATGCATCGGATCCTCCGGTCCCATCTTCTCGGACCCAAGTTGGGAGGCCTCTGCAGAAAATGCCCAACTTCCCACTGGCTCCACCTCCCTGCCTCCTTCCCTGGTCTTGTCCTCCCCCGGCCTTGCTGATTTCCCTGCCTATCTCCCATGCCTCTCCTCCCCCTTGACCAACGCCTACGATTACCCATGACCTCCTCACCCCACCCCGCAGGATCCAAGATTGCACATTGGAGCCCTTCCCCCGCATTATCCCCCTGGGTTTTGGGATCTCACTTCTGATGTTTTTGATTACTCTTCCTCATGGGCACAAGTGTAAGTAATGTGCAAGTGTTGTCTGGGTTCTTGGCAACAGAAACTGATGTTTCGCCACGTGGCGGTTTTTTGCCCCTCGGACCGTACACCGCTCCGCGGCCGTGAAGGGGCCGTTGGTTTCGCTCACAATGTTATATGTCTCGGTTCGCGGGCTCCTGCACGCAAGGCGACTGGAATGGCCGCCGTTCTGACGGTGACGGGGGACGGGGCAGGCGATCGCTGCAGGAGGGAATCCTCACCGAGTCGCCGAAGCAAGGCGGTGATGGGCCCAGTTCCGCATGGAACCCCCGCCCGTGGGACATGCGGCTGCCAAACCGGGGTGGCGGCGGCATGCGTGCGCAACCACTGCGGCCTTCGGTGGAGCTCCCGATGGGACCACGAAACGTGTCATGGGAACGCCAAACTGGGGTGGCGGCGGCGGCGGCACGTGGGCGCAATCACTGGGGCCTTAGGTGGGGCTCCCTGTGGGACCACGAAGCGCCTGAGGGGTGCGCCAAACTGGGGAGGCGGCGGCATACGGTCCGCACGCATGCCGCCGCCACCCCGCGCACGCATGCCGCCGCCACCGCACTGGGCTGGAGGGGCAGTCGGGGGACGCGTCGGTCATCGCCACGGCGGCACGCAGTGCCAGCGTGGGTTCGCGTGCCGACCACGCATCGGGAGGGTCGATGGCGCGTTTACCCTGCGCCCGATTCAGGGCCGGGTTCAGTGTCGAGATGAGGCGAGGCGGGGTCAGCCAGCGCGCGATGGGCAAGATGCGGTCGCACCTGTTGCCCGGCGGGCAGAGGACTGGCTGACGATCCGACCAGTTCTATCACGTCGACGCGATCCTCGCCCCCGATTTGAGCCGCGCCACCGACGCCCTCATCGGGCAGCCCAAGTCCGCGGAGCAGTGCCGCGCCAACGAGGCTGTTGGAAGGCAGCGTGGCGCCTGAGCTCGGCGGCCGACGGCTGGGCTTCGGCGTTGGAGGACCGCTAGTGCCAGACCCTGCTTCAGGACGAGAAGTCGAACGCGAGGCACTCGAGGCTCCTGTCCGATGCCTGGGGCCGCAAGGCTGCTTCGCATTGACAGACGTCTGCGGGGGGCGCGTCGTCAGCGTCGTCTCCCCCGCGGAGCCCAGGGGCAAAGGGTCATTCATCCCGTGGCGCACAGGAGGCAGCAGGCGCTCGAGGCCGCAGTCCGGCTGTGCCCAAGAGCGCCGCCGAGGCAGAGCGCGATCTGCGCCCCCCGCCGGGCGAGGGGGGGGGTAGCGAGAGCTTCTCCCGAAGTCCACCGCGGCGTGCCCTGAGCAATCCTGCTGGCCTCACCTCGCATGTCCACGGTGGCGCGTCGAGGCGGGGTGACCTGCCGTCGGGCGAGGAAGGTCCAGGTCGCGGGCGGTCGAGGCCCCGCGCGCCAAACGGACCCCGCCCGGGAAGGACCGACGCGGAGGCATGGGCAGAGGCTGGGGGGAAGGCAAGGGCGGCATGGGCAAGGGCAAGGAGCCTCAGAATGGCCCTCCCGCCATGCGGGCCAGGATGCGCAGGGGGGCGAAGGGGTCCGGAGACTCCGCGGTGACGGCCCCGCGAACCCGCCAAGAGCCATCTTCGCTGGGCGGGCGCAGGCGCCCAGGGCATGGGCGCCGATGCACCGCCGCCCCTGGCGCCTCGTCGGTCGGGGGGTCGGTTGGCTCGCCCGCCGCGAGCGCTAGCATCGGCGGCGCGTCGCCGCCGCCTGGGCCAGCCAAGCCTCCGCGCCCACTCGGAGCGGCGAGCGCGGGCGACAGAGGCGCGCCCCGGTGAAGTGGGCCCAGGGCAACGCCCCCGTCGGGGCCGAGCTTCAGAGGCAGCCGCTGGAGAGGCTGAGAGATGCATTGCAGTCTTCTGCCATCTTGGGCATTGGCGTTGCGAAGCTCGGCGAGCTGCTCTGCCTGGAAAAACCAGGCGTTGCTAGAGGTGCCCCTGGGCCGAGGCGCCCCTGGGGGCGCCGGGCGCGACCTCGCGCCCTACGTTCAGATACATCAGCGCCTCAGCGATGAAGCGGCGTGCAGGGGTTTGTCCCGGACACGCGCGATGCTAGAACATTTGCGCGAAATGTTCGGTTTGCGCTTTCCAGTGGTGTTTCAGTACGGGCCCCTGGTAAGAACGCATTCTTGAAAGTGGCCGCCCATTCGCATCGTCCGCCGTCGTCCAAAACATCGCGAAGCACCCAGAATGTCAGCGGCGCTTCTGGCCGGGGGAGTAGGGTAACTTCGCGGGGGCCGCCCATGGAGACCAACGGGTGCCTTGCGGTCGGCGCAACTACCCGCCGACGCCATTTCTGCGTCGGCCGCGGGCGCGGAACTAAAATGTAGGATCTCGTTTAGCGAGCCCCCCTTCGGTCACGAGGGCATGGGCGGGTTTGTCAGCGGGGGGATTCTTCGCAGCGCGGCGACGTGCATCAGAGTGAGGGGGCCGAACGGTCTAACAGTGTCTTTGGGTGCGTGGTTGAAGTGGGGATCCACAGTTCGGATTCTGCTTGCTGTTATTATCGTGGACGTCCTGGCGGTTTGGTCGCGGCGCGGGTGGGTCGCGGCGCGGGCGGATCGCGGCGCGTGGGATCTCGGGCGGCTTGCGGCGCCGATGGGTCCGGAGTGGGTTGCGGGTGGGTGGCGGGCGGGTCGCGGCGTGGGCCCATCTTTCGGGCCCCCTCAGTGACCGCACTGGGGGCCGCTCTTGGAGCTGTCTCGGGGCCCTCTTGGAGCCGTCTGAGGGCCCTGGGAAGGGCCCAGAGGGCATCCGGGGCGGCTCCAAGAGTGCCCCGAGACAGCTCCAAGAGGGCCCCGAGAAGGCCCCAATATCGGTCACGCAAGACAGGCAACGCGTGACCACTCTTGGGGTCCTCTCGGGGCGGCCTCGGGCCCCTCTTGGGGCCGTCTGAGGGCCCTTAGGACGTGGGAAGGGCCCGCAGGGGCCCCGAGACAGCTCGGGGACCGAAGACGTTTCCAAGATGACCCCCAGCGCGGCCGGGCGAAGCCCCCCTTGCGCGACCGATTTTGAGGCCCTCTCGGGGGCCGTTTTCCAGGCCCCCTTAGGTGCTTCTTGGGGCCCTCTCGGGACCTTCTTGGACCCGTGCCGGGGCCATCGGAGGGGCCCAAACCGGCCCCGAAACAGTTGTAGGACACCCCCAAGAGGGCCCCCAGAGGCCCCCAAGAGTGCCCCAAGACCGGTCGAAAGCATCCCAAACTGTCCAAACCTATCCAAACAATTCAGGATATCTCCAAACGCAGAGGCCCTTGCCTACATTGTAGAACAGTATGTTCGGAGGGTGGTTTCCAAAGAAGGCAAGGGGCCGCTCTGGGCCTCTGGGGCGGGGTGGGGGGATATCAGGGTTCGGAGGGGCTCGGAGGGGTGCGCCAGGCAGCGGCCCCCTTGGCGGCTGCGGCGCGTTCGGGTCGCAACCTGATCCCGCGCGCAGTCCGCGGCGTCTCTTTCTTCCCCGCTCCCTAGCTTGACGATTTTTTGGTTGGACGAGGACGTGATTTGACGAATCTTCGTTTCAAGACTTGCACAGAGTTGCCGTCGTCAAAGTGAGTTCCCCTTCCCGATGGGCATTCTTCAGAATCCCGTCAAACTTTTGCGAGGATGTCTCGGACAAGTCGCTCGCGTCAAATCTCGTCACAGTTCATCGAATGTCGTCGTATCCCCTTTCGACTTCGTCACATTGGGATTCGTCAACTCACGTCATCGTCAAAATCGCTTCGCCAAATTATTTTGGGGGGGGCAATAATGGCGCGAGGGGGGGCGCGCCGCAACCCGAACGCGGCGCAGTTGCCGAGGGCAGGTCTCCAGGGGCCATCGACAATTCGGGGGCGTGGCGGGGTAGTCGGCCAGTAATCGCGCACCGGGGTTGTTCGGGCCCTTCTGCTGCTTTTTCCAGGGGCGGGCGAGCGAGCTCCCGGAAGGCACCGCAGACCCCGCTGCCAAGGTTGCTGCCCAGTGGCGGACCGCGGAGGCCATCATTGAGGCCGCGTGCGAGCGTCGCCGCGGCGCCATTGAGGGTTGAGCTGCGAGGATGCCAAAATTACGATCAGGCCGAGGTCCGCGGCGGGGGGGCGCCGGGGGCTCACTCGCGGCGCCCTCATCCGCCACGGCGATGCTTTGCGGCAGCCCTTGAAGTCTCGTCGTTTCGCGCATCCCCGCCGTCCCGCGCAGAGAAGATGCCCGGGCGAGTC